CCCAGGAGTGGGTGGAGTTCTAGAATACCCAGTCCTAAGGCTAGACAGCCCTACGCCTGTGGAATAAGTCCATGGTGCGATTGCAGTCCTAGATGGGTGCCATTCCATCTTCATCGAGTCTCTTATTTTCTATGTAAGTGTTAGGCAGCAAGGCTTGGGATGGAGAGGTCATTTCTTACTGTCCTTTCTTCCTCCCAATTTAGGGGCCGTCAAGTCAATGCAGAGGGTATCCTCTCCTAATCCTTCTCTACCGTATGTGTCAGTTGCTGTGCTAATGGCTTAATCTAATCTACATACATGCCCTCATGGTGAGTATTCAGCAGGCGTCATGAGCACCATTTTGCAGATGAATCAACAGAAGCACAGAGAGGAGCTGGCTTGCCTTCTGGGAAGCAGAGGCAGTCAGCCGAGGCTGGGCAGGCTGCCTCCAAGCCACAGTCCGGGCCGCCCTGGCCCTTTGTGCGTGTGGAAAGCAGCTTGAAACACATCCCATATTTTCCCTTCCTCTGCGAGTTTCCTGGCAGTGACACTGTCCCCCTGAAATGAAAGCTGGGTCAGAACAGACAGTCTGAGCACAAGTGGGTGAATGAGGGGTCAGAGTCCCAGGGACGGTTAGGCAAGCCTCTCACATCTGGGGCTGGGCCACCATCTGCAAGGCTCAGAGCCAGGCAGCTCAGGCCCAGCTGGGAAGCAGCGCTCAGTCCGCCTGCTCCTCCTTCTCCCCAGGGAAGCAGGCGTGGAAGTGGGCGAGATCTGTGGACTCCAGAGTAGCCCTTTCTCCCCTCCCAAGAAGGAGCAGAAAGTCACACACATTTAACTCCTACCAATGGTATCTTCTCCTTTCCGGTGCGTGGCGCACAGCGTCAGAATACATAGTATTTATCGATGCTGAAACCGGTTTGGCTCAGTGGATAGAGAGTCAGCCTGTGGACTGAAAGGTCCTGAGTTCGATTCCGGTCAAGGGCATGTACCTTGGTTGCAGGCACATCCCCAGAAGGGGGTGTGCAAAGGCAGCTGATAGATGATTCTCTCTCATTGATGTTTCTAACTCTCTATCCCTCTCTCTTCCTCTTTGTAAAAAAATCAATTATATATATATATATATATATTTTTTTTTAAAGAATACATAATATTTATCAAGCACTTTCTGTGAACCAACTCCAATAGTTCATTCAAATCCTCACACTTCATTTCGCCTAGTTTATGGCACTTCGGAAAGGTAAGCAGGCCAGTCTCACAGAGATAAGAGAGTTGGGCTTTAAATCCAGAGCTACAGTCTACCACTCCCCTCAACATGTATTATGATTTCATTTTGTCTAAGATGCTGGACAAAAAGGCTTCTAGCCCCCGAGGCTCCTTTTCCTTGCATCTACCTCCAAAGAAGTTCCCAGTCCTCCTTGTTCCTCTTCCTTCTCTGCCAGTGCCTGTCCACGACTCTGGCTCACCGGTCTGGCAGGGCAGAGCCTGGGCCAGCCCATTGCACCAGCCCGTTGTCCAAAGGGCCCTTGGGACCCTTTGTAATTGCATTCCACCCCAGAGTTGCTTCATTTGGTGAAAACAAGCTCTGTTTATTTTGAGAGCTTGGGTTGGGGGGAGGGACACTTTATACCCTAGCTTTCCATCACCATCGCCCCAAACCCTGATCCTTGGAGAATTCATTGTGTAGAGTTTGTGTAAAAAGGAATTTAGAGCCCTGGCTGATGGGGCTCAGCTGGTTGAGTGTTGCCCTGTGCACTGAAAGGTCTCTGGTTCGATTCCTGGTTGGGATGCGAATGGGAGGCAACATAATTGTTTCTCTTTCTCCCTCTCCCTTTCTCTCTTTCCCTTCCTCTCTCTCTCAAATCAATCAAAACATATATTATAAAAGCAATTTAGATACAGGGTCTTCTGGCCCAATCACAAGGATTCCAGGCTGTGTTCCTGGCTCTGTATTCCAGGCTCCCTACTCCCCAGTCTCATTTTCTCTCTGTGTGTTCATTAAGAATGAAATGACCATCCAGGGACAAGATGAGGAGGAATGAGATGATGTCCAAAGAAATCCTTTGCATTCCTGAGGGGGGAAAACCACCACATTCTCCATGAAGTTAAAATAATGCACATAAAGCATTTACTAGTAGCGAATGCCTGGTACCTGCTAGGTGCTCAGGTGCTGTGTGAGCCATTGGACAGGTGGCGTATGCCAGAGTCATGGGCACCTGCATCCTCAGGGTGTGGCTGGCAGGAGAGTGCTTTCCTGAGATTGCCTGCCAGGTACAGTTGGTGGTTTGCCACAGCTCTCAGGAAAGTGACCTAACCTGGATTTTTCTCAATGGACATGGGATTGCAAGAAATTCTCATTTGCATATAGACGGGGAGTTTATTTTTCCTGGAATCTGCATGTCTAGACCCAGAGAGAGAAGCATTTCTTCATAATGATTAATCAACGATATTGCAAAGTTGAAAGAAAAGAAAACAATTAAGGAAATGAGATGCTAAGGAAACAAGGGGGGGGGGGAGGAATCTCCCAAAGGTGGACCCACCCAGTGCACGTTGACAGCATTTCCTCTTATCCACCTGCATAAAAGCAACCCACCCTTTCCATGTGGCGAAGGGCAGTGAGAGAGCAGACGCAGGAAAGCCCGAGCACCCGGACACAGGTGAGCCTCCTGCCAGTCTCCATCTCAGGCTCTTATTCATCTTCATCCTCACCCTCATCCTTTCCAGCTGCAGAGAGGTGGCCTGCGCATCGTCGTGTATGGCCTAGGATGCCCCAGGTGCTTGGTACTCAATATAGAGGTGAACTTTCTGGCACCTTACTTTCAATAAGAAAAGATAGAGAGTGGAAAAGAAGGAAGGAAAGAAGGAAGGAAGGAAGGAAGGAAAGAAGAAAAGAAGGAAAGAAGGAGGAAGGAAGGGAGGGAGGGAAGGAGGAAAGAAGGGAAGAAAGAGGGAAGGGGAGGTAATCTAACGTTTACTATAACTTTTTTGTCCTAGAGCCTGTGCTGGCAATTTATATCTTCTTTTAAATCCTTTGCAGTATTAAATATTTTTTAAAGTATATATTTTTATTGATTTTAGAGAACGAAGAGGGAGAGAGAGATAGAGACATCAATGATGAGAGATAATCATTGATTGGCTGCTTCCTACATGTATCCTGGGTATAAAACCCACCACTCAGGCATGTGCCCTGACTGGGAATTGAATGGTAACTTCCTGGTTCAATCCCTGAGCCACACCGGCCGGGCTTAAATATCTTTTTCACTGCAAGGAGCATCTGTAGTTCCATCTATCCAAATCAGAAGGGCATTGCTTTCTGGCTGGCATGAGAACATGTGTGGGGATCTCCAGCTGAGACCCTCCAGGGAACAGAGCTGTCAGTGGGATGATGCAGAGGCCAGAGGGTCCAGGGCCAGCTTGCCTGCTTTCTCACTCTGGCTCTGCTATCTGGTGGCCATGGACCTTGGGCAAGTTCCTTCACTTCTCTAAGTCTTAGTTGCCTCTGATAAAGTGGAAAGAGGATGGTTGTGAACATGAAATAATTGGGAAAAATGCCTGGCACAGTCCCTGGCACATGTGGCATGCATGCTGAACGTTAGCTATTACTGTTATCTGGATCTGCTAAGATGTCAGGGGTTGCCCAGTGGAGGGAGGCATCTTTCTCCTGCACAAGATGCCTGGGCCCCCTGGCAGCAGGGCCCTAGCAGGGAACGTCTCATTGCTTCTGACACTTACCTTGGCAGAAAAAATCTGTGCTCCCTTCCCAGTCATGTGGCCTTCTAGAAGCAGCCCGGTTGCCTTTAGAAGGGAGAGGGCGCTGAGGGAATCTACAGACATCCCTTCCCGTGGGGTTTGTACTCTGGTTTGGTCACAAAGAGAGAGGCTGGAAAAGGGGCAACCAAGCTCTGTGGTGTGATGCATGCCCCCTGCTTGGTGAGATCTCATTTATGCACCGGTTCTCTCACTGGGAGTGATGCTGAGTCCAGGAGAGAGAAGGCGGAATGGCTCCCTAAGCAGGATTTGCTGTTTTTCGGTCCTCCTGGAAAAGAGAGTGGGAATCCCAAGGAAGATATGTGGAGCAGCGGTTGGGTATGGGGACAGCTGCGACTCCCACTCCAATGTATGTGCTTTGTAGTTAGAGCCACGGTAACTAGAGGCATGAGGTTGGGTGCTCTGCAGGCCCCTAACAGCCTTCCTATTTGGGTGCCTCCCTGTCCTCCACTGTCACACACCAGCTGGAAGTGGTTACATGAAAAAGGCAGAGAAAGACGGTGCAGTCGGGTGAGGAGGCAGGCATCTCAGGGTCTGGCCCAGCCTAGAGACTGGCCAGCTCAAACATGACCCTCATCCCCCCGCCCTGGCTTGGTGGGAGACAGAGGGGAGGCAGGGGCAGCCTTCCTGTCTCTCTTCTCTGTGGCTAAGGAGTGATTAGGAGATGGCTTGCTTCTCTCCTTCCCATCTTCCTCGGGAGGTGACATTTTCATGGCTGGCTTCAGATGATGATTATTAGCAGATAATAAAAGGGTGTCGCCTATTTTGGGGGCAAATAAAAGAAAACCACACAAATGTGCTCTGGTGGCTTTTTAGATCTGTTGCCTAATTCCTAGGGCATATTACAACGCTGTTTTTCCCATTTAATTGATTAAAAACAATGCTCTTTAAAGTGAGCCATGCTGAGTCATAATAGAGTGATATGTACTCACGGACACTATCTGTGGGATGAGAGAGAGAGAGAGAGAGAGAGAGAGAGAGAGAGAGAGAGAGAGAGAGAGAGAGAGAGAGAGAAAGCGCTTGAGAGAGAAAACTGTATTGTGCTTCCTAGAGCATGGGGTTAGGGGGAGGGCTCACTCAGCAGAGTCAGGAGAGCCAGGGGAGGAGACACATGCCTCTGGACTCCACTGGCTGAATCTGTTCTTTTGGTGGCTGCCTGGCCCGCCCTGTGAGGACCAAGGGAGAGCTCATCGGGGGTCTCTCTCGTTCTCTCCACTCGGGCCGGGCAGTTGACCTCACCCCTCCTGCAGGACATGAAGGCTTCCCTCTGGCTCCTGGGAACAGTGTTCCTCCTGAGCTCAGCACACACCCGAGGTCTCAGGAGATGTCTGATTGCCATGGACATGCGCCATGTAGGAGAGAGCTTCCAACAAATCAAAGGAGCCATCGTGAGTATGGGCTCTGGGGAAGGTCTGGGCAAGAGTGTGCCTCACCTTACGTCCAAACATGAAGAACAAGTACCTGCTCATGGTTTGTTGTATCTCAGGAAGCCATGGGATGCTCATCACGTGTGTTTGTTCTTACGTTTTCCTCCACAGCAAGCTCAGGACACCTTCCAAAATGTCACCATCCTGTCCGCATCGGGGACCCTGCACAGCATCAAGGTACTGGCCCTGGGCTGAGAGAGAAATCCTCACCCTGCCCCTGTCTCTTTCCTAATCTCCCGTGTCCTCTAAATGCTCCCAGCTTTTTATTAATCACCAGATACGTTAGGGCACACTCATGTCTTAGGAACTCTGAATCCTTGGGAGCTACCATTCTGTTGTCTGTGTGTCTATGCGGTTTGTTTATTGTTTTTTGTTTTATATCTGCATAGATATAAACCACAGAGTAGTGGTTACCAGAGCGAGGTAGGGGTTAGGGGAGGACAAAGAGGATAAAAGAGGTCAAATGTATGGTGACGGAATGAGATAGGTCTTGGGTGGTTAGCACACACTAGAGCATACGGGTGTCATATTATACAGTTGTACACCTGAAATTTATATAATGTTTTAACCATTGTGACCCTAATATATTTCATTAAAAAAAAAAAAAAGAGGAAGAAGCCCCTGGGAGGAATTAAAAGAAGTGCCACTTACCCAGAGAGTGAGTGAAGGGCCACATGCTCAAAGGGGGCAGGCTGCCTGAGGCGTAGGGTGATTCTGGAAGCTCTCATGGGGAAGCCGAGAAAAGGAGCCATGACCTACAGGCTGAGTAGGCTGTGGGTTAGTGGACAAAAGGAAGGCAGAGGTTTGGGCAGCATGGGAGAATGGGTGTACAAGATCAGTGGATGTGTCAGGGGACCAGGCTTGAAGCACAAGGGACATGAAGGTGAGAGAAAGAGGATGAGGTTGGAAAATACATTAGAGACATTTTCTTTGACAGGCTAAGTCTCGGACTTACAACAGAGGCAACAGGAGTCCCTGTAGGTTTCTGAGCCAAAGGCTGCCTGACCACAAAGGTTGTAGAAAGGCGGTCTGATGGGGTTCTTTGCAATGAACAGTCCAAGGCAGGAAAGCCAATGAGGCTCATCCAATGGTCAGACCAGAGCTGATGAGAGTGTGTTCACAAGAGTTGGCTTTTGAGGTGATCACTCATGTACAGAAGGGGTCACTGAGAAATGCCTTTAAAAGTGAGCTCCTTCAGTCCTTGTAAGAATTCTAGAAAGATCTTTTTTTGTTTGTTTGTTTTTCAGTATGTATGAGGCAGAGTATACATTATATCTGCAATGATTTACTTTTTTTCCTGGGGCTTCTTTGCATCCGCTGATTCTTCTAATCAGTACTGGACCTGATTTATTTGTGGAAACAGCTGTGCAGCCTTTTATGGACTACTATTCCAGCCAGCTGTACAAGAAACTCATTAGATATCACAGCTGGAAATGGCCCTAAAGATTACCTATTCCAAAACCACAGTTTTCAAATGACCAAGTTAATACTTTGGGAGGGAGAATGACTAGTTCCTGGTGGGCCCTCGTCGCATGCCTCTGTCTCCACGTTCTTCTCTCAAGGTCTAGAAATAGCTGATGGGATGTGAGAAAAGGGTCCATGAGGATTCAGGTCTTAATCACATTTGTGTGTGTTTTAATTTTTATTGATTTCAGAGAGGAAGTGAGAATCATTGATAGGCTGCTTTCTGCGCTCCCCAAAGTGGGTAATGAGCCCACAACCCAGGCATAGGCCCTGACTGGGAATTGAACAGTGATCTTTGCATGATCAACCACTGAGCCATGCCCGCTGGGCTTTATCACATTTCTGTCTCTCTCTTTTCCTCCCTGATAAAAGAGATGCGCCACTTTAGCCCCTTTGGTTAAGAGAACTGGCAGGAGTGATGGAGGAGGAGCATTTGTGTGTGTGTGTGTGTGTGTGGCAAATAGTGTTTGCCATCCAGAAAAAGCTACCCCTAGGGCCAAGGCGGTTTTGCTGCATTCATGCTAATGAAAATGAAGTCTCTTATCTCTGCTGAAGACCCCTTCCTCCTCATACTGAGCTACAAGCCTCCTGCTGGAAGGAAACAGCCTGGCCAGCTGCTATAAGCTGTCCTCTGGGAATTCAGGAGCCCCTCCTTAGAGAGATCTGCCCTCTGCCAGCTGCAGACCTGCCTAGATGCAGCATTTCCACAGCAATTCCTTTTCATTCCTGCACATCCCAGCCCCATCAAATGATCCCTGCAGTTTAGAAAAGACAGACTGGAGGAGAGCCAAGTATTGCAACAGAAGGAATGCCATTGTGATAGAACAGTGGTCAGCAAACTCATTAATCAACAGAGCCTCAGTTTGCCGACCACTGTGATAGAATGAATGTGTGCCTAGTGTACGCCTGGCAAGCAACAGCCACTGAATAAATCCAGGTTGTCTGAAAGGAGAGGCACACTTCTGTACAATGAAAGGAAGCGTTTTCAGGCAAGCTGCTCAGACATGGTTGCTTTCAAAAGGCAGGTGCCTGCCGAAACCGGTTTGGCTCAGTGGATAGAGCGTTGGTCTGCGGATTGAAAGGTCCCAGGTTTAATTTCGGTCAAAGGCACGTACGTTGGTTGTGGGCACATCCCCAGTAGGAGGTGTGCAGGAGGCAGCTGATTCGATGTTTCTCTCATCGATGTTTCTAACTCTCTATTCCTCTCCCTTCCTCTCTGTAAAAATCCATAAAATATATTACAAAACAAAAACAAAAGACAGGTGCCTGGGTCCTGGAGGGGTCTAAACAGAACTGAGTGGTGACCTGCTGGGATGCTGAGGAGGGAATCTAGTCTCTGACTGAGCTCTACCCCTTATTAATATATCTCCTGGCCCTACACAAAGAGTGGGTGAACCACAATCTCTCCTCAGTGCCTTCATCATAAGGAGCTTCAGTGTAACATGGATGGACACTCTGATATCATTATGGGTTTTTAAAAAATAACATTTCGCTATCTTGGTCCTGACTGTTCCTATTCAAAGAGGCCACTTTGGTCTCCAAGATAATAAAGAAGAAATGACCATGGATTTTTCTGATTCCTAGCTGTAGCCCTCAGATGCCCTGGGCTCTCTCTAATTCTTATTTGTAGCCCTTAGATGTGTGCTGTGTGACCAAGAACCTCCTGGCGTTTTACATGAACAGGGTGTTCAAAGACCATCAGGAGCTGAACCCTCAGATCTTGAGAAAAATCAGCAGCATCGCCAACTCTTTCCTCTACATGCAGAAGGTTCTGCAGCAATGCGTGAGTCCCCACGTCAGAACTCCCAGCTTCTGCGCGCTGTCTGCTGGGGAGGGCCTGGGATGTGCTGGCCCCAGTCACCTTCTCACATGGTTCCCTAAGGCAAGGGACACTCTGCCTCATCCGCCATGGGGAGAACTGTCAGGAGCCTCTTCCAGTGGTCGCTCCTTGCCCAGAGCTTTCTCCCTGCCAACACCTTACCAGACCCAAGTTTCCTTGAGGATAGTCCTCCTGAGGTGACCACTTATGTCAAAGTATCCCTTAGGTGACCCCAGGCCTGGCCTGTGAGAGAGGCGCTCCTGGCTTATCCTAGGCACACACCTGCTGTCTTTGTTTCTGGTCCTTTAGGGTTTTCATAACCTCTGGGTAGGTCCTAGGTATAGCCTTCCCCTAAGGATCCCCTGTAATTCATTATTATCTGTTAAAATCAAACATCATAAATAAAGCCAAACTTATACAAACTAACGGAAACAGAGGACAGCAGATATCCTGAGCTGTAGCCCCATCCCCGTGAAGGACTTCCTGTGTGACTTGGTGGCGGGTTACGTCACCTCTCTGGGTCAGAGTCTAAAACTTAGGAATCATGACTCCTGCCGCACTTACACTAAGATTCATTGGATCAATTATTTCATTAACGAACCCAACAAGTATCTATGGGGTGCCTGCCTTGTGGGGCGCTGCATTCAGAGTGGGGGCGAGACAGATTTGGCACCTACTTTCCTGGCTCTTCCAGTCAACCCAGAGAAAGCCAAAGCCCTGGTCACACACAAGGTGACTCTACAAACAGGCCTCACTCCCACTGCTGCTCCACCCGGAATTTATTTGCCTGGCGCTCACCTTGGGTGGGAGGAGAAACATCACTTCAGAAGGGGAGGCGGTGGAAAGGGCGGGCCAGGATGGGAAGGTCCGCTCATGGCTGCTGCCTCCACTTTATCAGCAGGAGCAGAGGCTGTGCCACTGCGGGGAGGAAGCCGCCAATGCAACCAGAATCGTCCATGACAACTACAATCAGGTGAGGGCAGGGAAGAGAAGGGATGATGGAGATGACAAGTGGGCGTGTCCCACCCTCTGCCTCCACTTCACTCACACTCACACTCATTCACTCATTCACTCATCACTCATTCTTCACTCATTCACTCACCAACAAGTCTGTATTGTAGGTCTCCTGAGTTGTATGTGCCAGCAAAGAGAGTGTTGGTCTTACCTGATTTGCTAATTTTCTGGGTTCCCCTCCCCCACATCCCTCCACTGTTTTTTTCCGCCTTTACATATCAGATCTAACCCGTGTTAAGTTTTTTGGGGAAAGCACATACTGCTTAAGATGGGGGTGACCCAGAGGAAGCCAGATCTCCAGTGAATTGGAAGCTGTCATGCATGAAGCATGTTACCAGCCAGGCATCACTGTGGCCAGTAACGGGCATGAGCAATCTGTGTGGTGCAGTAGGGCATGCTGCTCATGCAGCGGTTGATCATGTCTCATACACAGGTGGAGGGAGAAGCGATGCTGCTTATGCGCATCATTTGGAGATGTTGGTTAAAATGCAGATTCTGGCACAATAGGTCTGGAGCGAGGCCCGAGATTCTGCATTTCAACCACACTCTCTAGAGATGCCAGTTATTGGGATGGCAAGGAGGTGTGGAGAGCTGTTCAGAGCTCTGCTTCTTTATGGAGAGGTCCCATAAGATAATGTTACAACAATGGCTAAGAGTCCTATTGTCCTTATTAGGAGTCAAGTATTGTTCTAAGTCAGCACATTTTGTGCTTACAACAGTGTGATGAGCTGTTATCAGCATTTGACAAATTAGAAAACTGAGGCACAAACAGGTTAAGAAACTTAACTGAGCTTATATTGCAACCAAGTGGTGAAGGTAGGACTCGATCCCATGCCCTCTGGCTCTACAGGACATACTCTTAGTCTGCTGAAGAGGACATGGAGGAGGTCAAAAAACTTGGGTTCTAGTTACACTTCCGGTTGTATGACTTTGGGTAGGACACTGATCCCTTAGGGACTTTGATGCTTTAATATGTCCAATGGAGAAAATAAGCTCTCCCTGGTCACTGCACAGCACCCTGGGATCGAGAACTCTTAAAGCTAATTTGAAAAAGAAAATAAGCTAAAAAACTGTCCAGAAAGACAATTTCTCTTTCCCTTGTGAAAAACAGAAAAAAGCCCGGCTGGCATGGCTCAGTGGTTGAGCATCAACCTATGAAATAGGAAGTCACAGTTCAATTCCTGATCGGGGCACATGCCCAGGTTGTAGGCCCAATCCCAAGTGTAGGGCATGCAGGAGACAACCTGTCAGTGTTGCTCTCCTTACTGATGTTTCTCTCTCTCTCTCCCTCTCTCTTCCTCTCTGCAATCAATACAAATATATATTTAAAAAACAGGAAAAAGAAGAACAAGGGGCAAAGAGTGAAGAATTTTTAATTTTGATAAGTTTCTGAGATGATTTAACTCTTGTTTGTGGCAAACAATCTGGGTTGCCCATTGGGAAAATAATTTGGGGTCTGTATACTCTGCAAATATAACTAATGAATTCAAAGAAAACCTTGTGGAGGCCAGAACATGGGGATAGTGGTTTGAAACGATTACAGGGTCTGAAAGGCAGGTTCTCATAGTCTCTCTGGTTCCAGCTGGAGGTCAGATCTGCTGCCCTCAAGTCTCTGGGAGAGCTGGATGTCTTCCTGGCCTGGATCGACAGGAATCATCAAGGAACTCCTGCCTCCTGACACAGAGAACCTGGTTGCCCAGGTGAACAGCTTGCGAAGTTTCCAGAAGACAGCCTCAAGCATGTCAAACTCATGGCCATGGGAACTTTTGAGTTTGACATGCTTGGCCTACACTGAACATCACGGAGATGGGGAAGACCCCCATTTTAATGCAAATGAGCATGATCTTGAAGCAACTTCTCTGTGGATTTGGAATTCTCTCCTCTGGGGCTGAGGGATTGTAGGCAAAATCTAGGTTTGGATGGATCTCGCCCTGTAGCTGGAAGTCCCAGGCTGTCTGGCTCCACCTGAAAATAACTTACTAGTCTACTGTCATATTTATAATGAAATATGTTATTTGAGAAAATTACATATTTGGGCCATCCTTGAGGAAAAGGGCTGGCTTCCCCCTAATTTATTGTGAGCTTGTTGTTCTATGTCTGTGATGTGAGCTGAGAGATATCCTGTAGTGCATGTTGTACTGACTGATTTTTCTTAAATAAACTGTTTTGTTTTTTTTACTGATTTAGTGAAAGTGTCTTCTGGGGGGGAGGGTTAAGGAGGGTCAGTTAAGGAATCATAAATGGTGACTATTAGAAATGAACGGGGGCCTTAAAGAACATAAATAACTAGGGAAACTGAGGCCTAGAGAGGGATGAGAAGAGGAGGGTGTCTAAAGTCTCCATCCAGCACCCTGTCCACTGCATAAGGATCAGGAAGATGGATGGAAGGCTTCTGACCGCCGACTCTCCTAGACATCACTCTGCTTTTCCTCCTCTTTCTCTGTGTCCTTGCCTTTTCTTTCTGCCTGTGTTTTTCTTTGTCTCTCTCTGTCCTCTCTTTCTTACTGCTCCCAACCTCAAAACATCTTCTCTGACCCTAAGTCTCCATGGGTATAATATATGTTGGGCTAGAGAAGAGTGTTTGGTTGTCATGGAGATAAAGCTGGGGTATCCTGGGTAGAGGAGTTTGGGCCCAGGCTACAGTGGAGAGAGGCCAAAATGGGCACCTATTTGTAGATGGACCCTCCTCAGATGGTTAAGGACAATAACAACTGACACTTACTGAACATCTGTCACATGCCAGTTGCTGAAATAAGCATTTTATACTCGACATCCTGGGTAGGTATCTCTACCATGACCAGTTGGCTGAAGCATCCTTTCTTTTTATTTTTAAAAAAATCCTCACTCGAGGATATTTTTCCATTGGTCTTATTTATTTATTTATTTATTTATTTATTTTTAGAGAGAGGGAAAGACAGAGAAACATTGATGTGAGAGAAACATATTGAGTGCCGAAGCTGGTTTGGCTCAGTGGTAGAGCGTTCGTTTGCGGACTGAAGGGTTCCAGGTTCGATTCCGGTCTAGGGCATGTATGTAGGTTGCGGGTACATCCCCAGTGGGGGGGGGTGCAAGAAGCAGCTGGTCGATGTTTCTCTCTCATAGACGTTTCTAGCTCCCTATCTCTCTCCCTTCCTCTCTGTAAAAAATCAATAAAATATATTTAAAAAAAGAAAAAAGAAACACATTGAGTAGTTACGCTCCGACCAGGGCCTGAGACAAGGATGAGCCTGCAACCCAGGTGCATGCCCTTGACTGGAATCAAACTCCAGACCCTTTGGTCCGCAGTCTGAAGCTTTATCCACTGAGCCTGAAACGTCCTTTCTTATTTCTACCTGAGAAGGAGATTTCACAGAGCGTGCTTTAGTGGACAAGGCAGGATCCCTGAAGTCAGAACGACTGGTTCCAACCCTATTGGCTTTGAGCAAATTACGTGTCTCTAAGTTTTCGTGTCCTCCTCTGTACAATGGAGATATGACACCGGTCTCAATGTGCTGCTGTGAGCACCAAATGAGGGGAAGCTCCTCATCCCCATAACCCCCGCCGTAACCCCACCAGGGGGAGGCTGCCAGGTGTAGTGTGAAGAGCATCAAGCCAGGAGCCAGGTCTGGTTCCAAGACTTCTGTCCTGAATTGTTGAGGGCAGGTCACCTCTGAGTGCCTGGGACAGTCCTGCATGAGCTATGGGCTCCCTCCCGCTGCACCTTGGTGAGCCCTAGATTTTTCATGGGTGCTGCTAGGAGCTGATGGAGGAAGGAGAAGAAATGAGTTGGGAAAGAATTTTATACTTGGTTCCTTAGCAGGTATTTATTAAGCACCGACTCTGTGAAAACAAAAACAAGAAACAACAACACCAGTAGTTGAGTGTGGACCCCTGAACCAGATCGATTCCCGGTCAGGGCTACAGGCTCGATCCCCAGCAGGAGACATGCAGGAGGCAGTCAATCCATGCTTCTATCTCTCTCTCCCCTTCTCCTTTCCTCTCTGAAATCAATCAATCAATCAATCAATCAATAAATAAATAAAACAAGAAACAACACCACCAAAATAAAAAAACACAACTCTGTGGACTACAAGAATCAGGACACATTCTTCAAGTCTGGATGGAGAGAAAGAACAGATAGACAAGGCAAGTGGGCAAAGTGAGATAAGCAGCCAAGAATTAATACTTCCTCCCTTCCCCTTCTCTCTTTCTCCTCCCCTCTCCCTTCCTCTCCTCCTCCTTTACAACCATCCCTGCATGCAGGCACAGCTCCTTAGGCCAGTAAGGCTCCTCCTCTCCCAAACTCCCATCATGCATGCAAGAGGTGCAGGCCACACTTCATCATGATTGAGGACCCAGGCTTTGGAGTAGGACACTCTGAGTTTGGAACTATCAAAAAGGTAAATGGAGGCATATCCAAAACTTTACAAGTTTTTTTTTTTTTTTTTTTTTTTTTTTTTTTTTTTTTTTTTTTTTTTTAGCAAATCAGTATTTATTGGAATTTATTTGGGACCAGAAAGAGCGCTCCACTGACAGGATCCAGGGGAAAGACTCAGAGACAGAAGGTGCAGAAGCCAAGAAAGAAAATTGATTGGCTACAGCGTAAAGCCCACGTGGCTGTTGGGGACTGGCTGTCCTTGGCATTTTCATTTCATGACTTGAGGCATTTCCAGGCTTAGGTTATAGTTTGCTGACTCAGGCTGCCATGGCATTAGTCTCACCTCCGTCTAATGACTTCCTTGTTTAATTTCACAAATCCCAGTTCCATAAGTAGAGCTGTATGACTTTAGAAGTGTTGTTGAAACTTGCCAGGCTTCACACTTCTTCATCCATTTAATTGGGTGGCCTTTGCCTTATTATGAGGAATAAAGGAGATGGTCTGAGTCATGTTTTCACATCAGTGACATTGTTGTCGATGGTATAGTTCAAGCATGTCAAACTCAAAGGCGAACACAGGCCACATAAATGAGGCACGAGTTTGCCATGCTTGTTGCTTGTTGTGGTTCATTCTGCCACCAGCTTGCCTGGATTAAAAGGCGTTGGTTTTGCTGCTGCCGAGCTGTGTGACTTTGAAAGTTTCCATTCTGCCACTAACTGACCTCTCTGTGTCTCAGTTTTGGAGACTCTGCTATGTTGCAGAAATTCTATGGAGAAAGAATGAGAGCAGTGGGCCTACATACTACTGACATGTTTAAATTTGGAGGAACATAATGTTTTGGGGTGTCTGAAGCAGCTGGAATAGGATACAAAATAGCTGTGATTTCCTGCCGCGGCTATTACTAGTGTGATTTATGTTTGTTTCCCAGCCTCGTGATGGGAGGAAATGCTTTGAACAGAGGTTAGTGGAAAAAGAAAAAAAAGAATGTGGTTTTTTTCCCCCTCCACCTTTCCACAGGTTAGGAACCCCTGTGTTAGAGGGTCTGTTCCCCTACGATGCTCTGAGACCCCAAGTGCCCATGTCTTGTCCATTTTGGTACCTTTGGGTCATTTTGTTTGGTGCTGGCAAGTGTCTCCTTGCTTGTTTGTGGAATTATAAGGAAAGAAATTGCATATGTCACCGTCCTCCCAGGTGAGGAGAGTGCTCATTCAAGGCCAGGCTGGAGTTTTGTTCCCAGACTTCATGTCTGGGAGAGGATTTCCCAGGGGCTCCCACTGGGAAAAAATGCAGGAAAAGGAAATGATGTCACTCATTCTGTTGGCTTTGAGCTTGGAGAACTGAAAACTATGCTTCTGATAATCAGCTGCCCTGCCCATCCCCGCCCTGCAGGGAGGTGGCAGGGCTGCCAGGCCAAGCTGGCAGCACCGCAGGCCTGGCCCTGGAAGGCCTCTACCTGATCAGTGAGAGGAGGTTCTTCCTCAGAACCGGATGCCAGTGTTTCCCTAAAAAGTGATGCAACTGGGCAGGAAGCTCAGGTGCCAGGAGCGATGATGCCCTCCATGGAGACAAGGGAAACGCTCAGGACTTGCTGTGGGAAAAAGGGAGTGGCCGGGCTTTTTGGTTCCTAGACCATTGTTTCCTGCCCAGAGGTGCCATGGTGAGGAATCTGAGTTTATTTCCTAAGAAGGGATTCTCCTTCCTCTGCCCAGCCTATTGTTATGGGCGACCCGCGAATGACGACCACCAGTCAGCCAAACTGGAATTTAGGAAGCCTTTATTACAAACTCGAGTCCGGGGTCCCGTCTCAACTGATACAGCAGCGAGCAACAAGAGCCCGACCCACTCTAAGCTGCTTTTATCCCCGTCTGAGGGATGCCTGGCAGATTAGGATTGGCCAAAAGTTTTAACAAAGAAACGTCAGTTATAAGTTATAGAAAAATTCCACTAGTACAGTAACATTTAAAGTTTATACAACACCTGGGGTGGGGGTTTATTTTCAGCTTAAGCAGTCTCTGTTTCACCTGGTTTGGTCTGTTTGTCCTGCCTTGCGGCTACTGGACACAGGACGTACCTGCCCGGGGGTTGAGGCTTGCAACAGAACTATTTTATGACTAAAAGTTATGCTACATTCTTCGTTGTGGGTCTGGTTGCTCATTCCTTCCCTGGCCTGGAGTCCTTCCTCGATAGGGTCTTGCTGGCCATCTGGAGCCCTGCCACGACCGGGCCTTGCCAGCCACAACATTATCTTCATCATTTCCTGGCTCTGGTTATATGCTGACCCCCAGTTCTGAAATGCTACTTCCTAAAGTTAGCTTCATGTG